AAAAAAAAAAAAAACAGTTAAAAAGAGATCACACCTGCATAGCAAGAATGCCCAGCCCACAATAACCACACTGCAAACAGCTAGTGTGCATATGAGCACAGAAGCTTGGTCTCTCCACCTGGTCTGTATTTTCCTTCCTCTTGTCATCATCCTATTAACGTTTTTATAGGAGACAACACAGAAGCAACCAACCCGTTCAGCCTAGAAACTTGTACTGGGACAAGGTGATGTTGAAATTACTAGGATAGCACAATAACCCACATATGCAATAAATGCACACACACACATATGTGTGTGTATTCCACCTGTTGCAAAATAAACATTTATGATTCAAAAATTTGGCTGGTGCAGCATGGTGTCTGTTCTGTGTAATATTGTGTCTCGAAAACACCACTGCTAATGTATATTATTTTTCTAAGAACCATGATGTTTCCAAAAACTACTTGAAGCAATAAACAGCACATTTTCTAAAGGTCATCTACATTTTCCATGCTGTCTAAGCTTATCCTTCTTCATTACAGAGCACAGGCCACAGGTACCAGCATGTTTTCTAAGTTCTCACCCTGCATCCATGTGAGAGAAAGTTTACGTTCCTCGTTCCTTGGATGCTACTGAAGTTCCCTCCACTTAGTACTTTCCACTTGACCTTTCCTGGAGGGAATAAAGGAAGCTCCAGAACAGACTCTAGTTGTCATCTCTGTCTGCGGCCGACAGATGGCGATAGTGATCACATAAGGTTATTTTCTCCAGCCAAGACCTACAGGGAGATGGGTCTCAACTGGCCAAAGAGCAGGCTTGTGCTATCTGTGCTCGGTTTTTGAAGTGTTGACAAACATCATTAACCCCACAGCATGCCTTTTAAGTAGGAAAAGAAAGGTAATTTTGGAAGTGATGATAACAAGCACAAGATGGCAATGCAAAGGTAGAGACGATTTAAAAAGCCCAAAGTGATGAAAACAATAAATGTGCACTTGTGGTGAAATGAATCATTCGAAGGACAATACCCAAGTGAGAAGTGCTCTATCTAAGCAGTGAGCAATAACCAATAAAGCGAGGGGAAAATAACTCAATAAGTGAAAACAGCAGACACAAAACACAGCCACAAACAAAACACTCAGCAGTTAGAGAATAAGCATTAATGTCAGAGGTAATTAGTTTGTCATATGACAATTCATCTAACATTAATGTAGGAGAGGTGAGGACTGATTTGAGAGCTTAAAGCAGTGGTTCTCAGCCTTAATTGCACACTCACATGCTCCGGGGAGCTTTTAAGACTCCCGAAGGTGGGAACAGATTTCCAAACCTCAGGAGGAGGGACCTAGGCTTCAGCAGCACTGACAGCCCTTCAGGAGATTCTGAGGAGCGAGCAGTAGCTAGGGACCGCGGCCTCTAAACCGACATGGGGAAATGCAGCTGCTGCTGGCTCTTGGATTCAAATCCACTCAGATAGACAGATCCATGGGAGAGGAACATGGACACCTTGGCCAAAAGCACATTCCTATGATATGAGGATCTTCAGAGAAAGAAATTATCTGCCTCATGGGATTTTCTTTATATTCTTGAAACTCAATAGATGAGCAGGGGGGAGCATGGACTACTAGGGTGGGCCCACCTTCAAGTTTGGAAGCAACTACTCATACATGTGTTTGAAGAAAAGTATCTCGGAGGGCTACAAGCTTCAACATCTCTTAAGTCACGTCAGGGAATCCATTCTCAGGCAAATAGACACACAGACCCACTCCCTTTCCTTTCTGGCAATCAGACTAACTCCCAGTCTCTCCATTCCCTCCTGTTATCTTCCCCCATCACAAACACGTTTTTTTTAATAAAGCAAATGGAGCATTTCTGTCTCAAATGCACCCCCAGGCTGTTCTCACGGCAGCCCCCCTGTTTACCTTGTCTGCCATTATCATAGAGGAGCCCCCATGGATGCCCAGGATGGGGGTGAGAGTCTGGGCAGAGATGAAGTCAAGGATCTGGGCGATGGCTTCCTGGTCTGTGTCGTCGGCAAACACCACCCCCTGGATCTTCCTGTCAGACATGAGATCACAGATGCGGGTGATGATGCTCTTTGGGTCAGTCTCATTCATGGCAACCAGCTCCACGCGCGGCACCACGGAGAGATGGTGGAAATCATCTTTCTCGTGGGCATCCTTGATGGCCACCTCGTCGGAAGTGCCCACGAGGATGACAGCGATGCCAATGCTGGGGGCGCTCTTCTGGGAGCGAGCTCTGCTGCCTGACACAGCCAGGACAGCCAACACCAACCAGAACTTGGGAGAACAGCACTCTGCTCTGAGCTTCATCTTCAACTCGTCGACTCCCTGAGAGGACACAAAGAAAGAGAAGTTCAAGGGTGAACCGCACCACATCACCAATGCATGAGGGCAGAACCCTGTGAGCCCAGAATTACGGATCCCCAGTTTGGCTGATCATCAAACCCATCTTGTATTGTCTAGCCTAGTCTCCCCTCATTCGTGTTTGCTTTGCAGCATGAGAAGGAAAAAAAAAAATCTTTCAGAAGCATCAAAAATCCTTGAGCCAGACAGTGAAAGATACCTTGCTAAAGCCAGCAGCAGCTAACAAGGGAAAGGCTGCAGGAGGTGTAGGCTTTCGGGATGCCAAGGAGGGGGGGGTCTGCAAAAGGGGGTCTGCTGTTGTTGAGTGATCGTGAGTTTCTCCTCTCATACCCGCCCTTGAACTGCTCTCGGGTCAAGGGGATGGCCAAGGTCAGGCAAACTGAGCAGCAAAATGGGCTCAGCAGTGGCTTGCAACAGAACATGGTCTCGGCAAGCTGGACACAGAGAGCCACATAACCATCTTTTTGTTGCTTTTGTGTTCACCTCACAGGGCTGGAAAATTCTTCGCCAACCCTTTGGGTAGCTGGCTCTTTATACTAAATCAAAAGAACAGCTGATGTGTGGGCAATACTTTTGAACACATCGCTACTGATTCTTACAAGAACCCAGTGAGAGGAAAATAAGATATTATCTCCATCGGATCGATGTCGAAGTGAAGGCTCCAAGAACCTAAGAGGTCCAAGCCCATGAGTCAATTAGGTAAAACGAACCTGAACCTGGATCATTTTTTTTTAGGCCAATTTGCATTCCATTGTGTTATACCACACTGTCTCTCAGCTTCTATCACCACAAGGAAGCCTCCATTCCCATTTGTTTCCAGTGATCTGGAAGCATGCTGATGTGCAGGAGGCACCTTTCGACACTCTCCAGTGTACTGCTGATGGCACCCTAGCGCAGACTCACCCAGAAACTGCTGAATTGTATCTGCATCACCCTTTTACCTAGACCCTCCAACACATTAACGTCCACCTATTTCCCTTCAATCTTGCTTTGCACTAGACTGAGGGCACGTTTTCATGAAGCTCAGACATTTCTCTTTACATTTCTCACCGTTCTCCAAGAGTTCCTCTTAAACAGAACTGGCCTGGCCTATGTTGTTTTGGTTTGTTTTAAGCAATCATTTATTGTAAATCTGTTGTGTATAAGGCACTCTGCTAGGCATTTTCTCCAAGGTAATCTCTTCAGTCCTCATAGAAAGCCTGTATAATAGTCATTTTATTCCCATTTCTCAAATGGAGAAACGGAAGCTCAAAACGGTTATGTAATTTTCCCAAGGTCAATGATATTATAATGCTACTTGTGTAGAAGCACAGCATTTTTATACTCCGAGGAAATATTCTACTAACTGCATCCAGAACCAGAATCAGGAATTCTCATCCTGCTACAAAGACAGAGTGTAATCAAGGATGAAAATGCTGCCTAGTATCTCCAATTTCTTTGAGGAATAAGAAAAGTAAGAGATTCAGATCTAAAACCTTTGAGAGTTTAGCTAACAGAAAATTCGGTAAGAAAGTGTTGTCTAAAGAAAGCAAAGGATGTATTCAGGCTGAGCACACTGACTGCAAAGGGCATTAATGATTTGGGAGTAAGGTGCTGGGACATTTTGTGGCTGAAGAAGCACAAAATCCAATCCAGTTCTTGGCAGGAGACATTTTGGAACACTTGCTGTTGAATTCATCCTTCATCTCTGCCAAGAAGAAGACCTGTATTGATTGCCTTGTCCATCTCTTGTAAATAAGGAGAAAAGCCCAGTGGTTCACAACTAGTAACGTTTACTCCAGACAACTTTCTAGTCTTCATGTCTCTGTGGAAACTGGGAATGACTACATGAGTCCTAGAAATCCCCATTCAGCAGTCCAGCGGGAGAGTCAGGCCTGAATTCCTCCCCTAGAGCAGACTCAAAGTAACACTGTGTACAGCTGAGCCGCACTGAATATTCAGATGGCTTAAGCAACTCAAAGAGCTGTTGGCAAAATAATAACAATAATAATCTCTTCCATTTCCAGGACTTGTCCTCAAGGAGAACAGAAAGATTTAGATTTTGGCAAAACTAGAGGCTGACTCCATTCCGATGGGATTCGAATTCTACAGTTACAAGTCACTAAATCAGATTCCTTCACGTTGAAGAGTGGTCCACTCTGCCATGACAGTTTATTAACTTTAATGCACTCAGCACTCTCCTACTTTGATGTTTTATTTGCTCTCTTTAAAATATCTCTTCTGTTCCTCTGGGGCACCTCACATAATATATTATGCTTTGTTATGCAATGGCTAGTTGTGACACTCAAAGAATGGAATCTGGTCTTACTGAGTGTCTCTTTTATACTCAGGACAGAGCAAAGCACTTTACAAAGCAATACATTACAGGAGATACCAGTAACACAGGGACTCTGAGACAAACAAAGATGCTGCTTTGAATACAAACTCAATTTCACACATTAGAAGGGGGTTCCCTGAGAGGAAGCATGCATTCCAAGATAAGTAAATTGGTTTTGCTTGCTTCTACCAACAGGTCAGCTACTCTAGATGCTCCCACTATGAGAAGTTTTGTTCCCTCTCTCTGCTGCGCTCCTGCCGGCAGCAGTATTGAGCACTGTTTTGGGGGGCTCTCCCCACAGTCTGCATGCTCTATTTAAGCACCTATGTTAGTCTATAACAACGAAAGGATGATGTGCTGCCTGTGCTAACTGGCTGGTGGTCTCCTGGGCACTAAGGACCTTTTCAGTTCTAAGCTCTTATTGATCACCTACTACCTGGCAGACATTATTCTTGGTGTTCAGGATACAACTCACATACACTCCCCCCTCCAGGACCACAAGGCAGCAGTAGACACAGACAGAGAAGATCTGGTCTCATTTCTAGTCTTGGGTGCAGTGGGGCCTCACATATAATAGGAAAAAGACCCACTGAGTGGAAGCCAGTTAATTTCTACCTTTTTAAAATTGTCAATATTTTGACCATAATAGTGACTTATTTCATAGTGAGAGATATATAGTAACATTTTTCCTATAACCTACCATATGGCAGCCACCAGTACTGCCAGGTGATGCTCATGTATTGTTAAATCACAGTGAAAGCTCATGTCCTAATTTCTCTCATATTACAAAAAAGGAAGTTATATTCTTTGTCTTAGTACCAGGATCACACAGCTGATAAGGACAACCTCCAGTTCCCAACCAGTTTGTCCCCAAAATCCTTTTTTACCATTCTGCTGCCTCTCAGGTATAAACATGAATGAATGAATGAGCAAACAAATGAGTACATGAGTGAATGAAGTCATCAACAAAAACCAAACTGCATTCTATTACCAGTTCCATATAAACTAAGTACTCTAGGATGGGCAAAAAACTGACCACTGTCTCTACTTCTTCAGGGGTGAAGTCAGGATAATATATCTAACCTACATACCTGAAAGAGTTTTTGAGGATCAAATGATAATATGTATATGGAAGTGCTTTGAAGAATTTAAAATACTCTGTAGATGCAAAGGATGTTACCTTTAAGTTTCTATGGAGGCTGTTCAAGGAGCCTAGCTATTTATGAAAGCATCAAGTCAGCATGTGGGAGGTGGGCGTGAGAGAATGGCAGACAGAGCTGAGAGGAATGTTAAGAGGAACTTCACAGGGGGCAAGAGATATCATTTTCCGGACGGTTATAACTCCCTGAAAAAAAAGTCATGTAATGACCTCGGGGTAGCAGCAAATTCTACTGATGGCTTTCCAGATGGGAAGCATAATTCAAGAGTCATGCAGTTATTCAGGGTTATTAATGGGAATCAGTGGAGCTCAGCACCCCCAAGTCATGCTGTGACATCAGGCACCAAGTAGGACTAGAACAAAGCAAGAGAATGGGAGCACTGATGGTACAGGACTCTGACTCCATGAAGGCCAAGCTGAGTGGACCCCAGGTCCACAGCAAACAGGAGACACAGCAGCCAGGCTCACACACACACCTGCAGATGAGCACAGCCAAAAGCAGCCCACACCAGGAACCAAGTGAAGACACACGTGAGTGAGAAGCTGGATCAATCCCATCTTCCGAGAAAAGCAAGTGGTGGAACAACCCTAACCAGAAGGATAAATGGGATTTAATAGATGATTAAATCAAGTTTTCCAAGCATTATCCTTTAATGCAGTCAAGATGCTGTTTGGAGCAATCCAATTAGGCAGACTGTGATTAGAATATGATGGACAGCAAGTAAAATGAAGATTAAAAGTGCCAGGACTACACATCAGGTCCAGTATCCCAAATGATACTGATGACAGAAATCCAGGAGACATATGCTTAAAATTTGTCAGATTAGAGTGTGAAGAGAAACAATAGATTCTGTCCAGCATAAGTGGAGTGAGTCTGACCTTTCTGAAGGTCAATGTAGTACTATCTATCAAAATTTAAATATAAAGATAAAATAAAATTCATAGATGAAAGTGTCAAAAGTGACAATGAGATACGCCACCTACTAGTATCAAGAAGATGCAATAATCATGAATCTAAAAATACAGGCTAAGCATGTATAAAGCAATAAACAAATTATCCTGGGAAGAAATAGATTGATCCAACGAGCAAAATATAAACAATGACATCCATGATTTTTTAAAAAAGCAAAAGGTTGAACTAGTTCAGATACCTAGAAATACACATACACCAGGGGACACATTTTTTAAGTGAATGGAAAATATAAATCTACAAAAAGTCTGAAGACACTACAAAGAAGCAAAGAAACAAGTGCCACTTTTCTCAATTACCCCTCCCATCGCTGCTAAAAGAAAAGGAAGCTTTTAAAGTACATGGCTTTACAGAGGAAGTGCTTTAAGGAAGAAATGAGCTTTGCTCATATAAGTTGAACAAGATAGGAAAAGAAGGAAAATGTAATTCTAAATCCGCATAATTATAAGACAAGAAAAGATTATCATAGACTCATTTCACTTAAGAATAGAAAGGCAAAAAAAAAACATCAAAGTATT